CCCCCCCCCCGTCCCCGAGCAGCCTTCTCCGACCCACCGACGCCGGGGCCGTTCCCAGCCGGAGCTTCCAGCTCCCCGCGCTGCCCTGCCTGTGCCGCCCGTACCGCGCTACGGCTCTGGGCACCACCCGGCGCTGCCGGGCGGGCGGCCGGCGCAGCCCCGAGGCGCTGCGGCTGGGGGCCGAGGAGAAGCGGGCAGCGGGCACCCGGGCCGGGGCAGGGCGTCCGTGCTAACCGCCGGGCGGCGGCGGCTTGGCCTCCGCACGCCAATGGCCCGGAGCAGCGGCAGCCATCTTGACAGGCCGGCGTGGCGCCCGTCCTGCCGGTAGCACCAGGAAATGGTGGACGGGGGATCGGTCACGGTGCGGTCCGGGGAGTTCGGTTTTTACCAGACTCCCGGGACTTCATTCGCGCTGGCGAGGACGCCAGTTAACAAGGCTTCTGATATTTTGGCGTATTGCAGCCAGCAGACGCAAGAAGGAAAATGGTTTTCTGAATTACTGGGCAACATTTACTCTCTTAGAATCTATGTCTTACGCAAGTCTCACAAATATTATTACTGCTTAGTTTAGTACTCAGCCATGAGGAGTTTTACATAAACCCTGTCCCTTTTGCCTACGAACTTTATAAACGAATTAACAACTACGTATTGCACCCAAACCACTTCTGTGTGAATATCCTAGGGAGTACAATACACCAGCAATATCCACAATTACTCTGCTCATTTGGTCGTCCTCATCATTTTGTTTAAAATTCCACCGTTTCAACATTATGTTGAAATGTCTTTCCCTTCCTGCCCGTCAGTTACAAGAGCAAGAAAGTCCCACCGGGCCCTGGGACTCGGGGGTAAAACGTCGGTGTGAGGCTGACGGTGGAGACGCTTTGGATTGACCTTTCCTCAAGCTTGTAAATCTAATATTATAGCACTGTAGTTAGGTTTCTTTTATTAGAATATGAGTAACAATGTATGTCTTTTGCTTGGTGTTGTTAAGTGCAGTTCATTTAAGATGGACTTTATGTGGTTTTATTTGTATTTTGTGTGCTGTATTTGCATGTCTGTGCTGTGTGTTTTATAACCTGCTGTATTTTCTGCAGAACTAAACCAGGCTAGATTGCATCAGCACCGAGGTTCAAAAAGGGGACGAGCCTTTCAGGCCTATCTCTGCCTGTTACGCTATAGTGTCTTACTAAAACTTCTGCCAACTCTCATTCTGGTATTTGTTTTACAGCAATGTAAAAACATCAACATTGCCAACAAGCTTTGAACTCATAATAACATTTCTTCCCATTAATTACTTTTTTTCATCTCTGCTGTCATAGTTCAGCATAATTTTCATGGACTTTGGTTGCCTCGGATACATTACAATCCTGTTCACAAGTAGTCATACTTCTAGTTTTAATTCCTACTCTTTTCATGTGATAAAGGGAAGAAAAATAATGTATGTAGCTAAGGAAGTACTCAGAGCTTCTAAATCATGAGTTTGCCTACACTGCATTAAAAAACCCAGCCAAACAACAGATCCATGTCACTAAGAAAGAATGCAGAGAGAAAATCATATAACCTCTTTTTTTTCATCAAATCTTTACTTTTTTTTTAAAGTACCAAAACATGGCTTCTGTATGAGTCTTTGTAACAGGACTTGGGAATTTCAGACTGACAAAACAATTGTAATACAACTTTTCTAACTTTTTTCTTGTGTTTTGCTGGTTGTACTTCTGGTACTGTCCATGAGGCTAGGAAACTCAAAGTTTATTCTTGGTGGCAATCTGTAGACTTACTGTCATCAAAAGTTTTTGTGACTGATACAGCCAGTAAATGCCCCTGAACAAACCAAAACTGTTTATTTGAAGAAACTTCAAACCATATCCTGGACTCTCCCTTAGCTGAAATGGAAATAGGGTGCAACTGTGAGTGAAAATGCATTACTCAAGAAGTGTTACTGCTGGTGACAAATCAATCAATCATCCTCTGTAAGTGTACTGCCTCAAATACAGTTCCAGTGTTCTTACAATAAGGATATTTTTAGCTATGTTTCATTATAATGGATGAAAATTTCCCCCAGCAGATAATAAGAGAGTCTTCTAACAGCATTTGGTTTGTGTACGTACCTCAAAAATTAATTTGGCTCGTATCTTAATAAAGCTTGCAATTCTTGTTTTGCAGGTTTCTCTGATATTTAGGCAAAGGATAGTCTTGCAGTTAAAGAGCAAAAGTGAGAGGCATGACATCTGTTTCTGGCTCAGTACTTCCTATAGAAAACAAAGTAGACAGAAAACGAGATAGAAATACAAAGTCTTTAAATTTCTGATGCGCAAGGAAAAGACAGTTTTATGTCAGTTCCAGACTTCTCATTGTGTTAGCTCTGCCCCCAAAATCCCAGGCCTCAAGAACAATTTATGAATAACAGTGCTCAAAGGAGCTCAAGTACAGCAATAGTTGAAGGTAATCTATTGTTTCAGCAATATATCTTTCCTAACGCAGACAGTTCTTAGAAGGGTTGGATGAAGAGCCAAATCATTTTAAGACCAAATAAAACAACAAATCACATTTTGCAACCAATGTTCTTGCATTGTTTTCCTCCGAGTGGTTGGACATGTGGGTAGAAAACTGTTTCAGTTGCTGGGCAATTGTCATTGCTTCTCAGCCACATATTTTTATTGTTGAAGTAAATCTTACTTCATTTTGTATGTGGGATTTTTCAAAACCAAGGAGACCTAAAATAATTGCTATGGATTGTAAGTGTTAAGAAGAGAAACTGCTTTTGGAGTATGGTTTAGTTGAAAACAACTTGTCAGCAGCAGTTTCAGAACAAGTGGTAGCTGTGGCCCATTCCTTCCCCCATCCCCAACCACTCATTTCCCCTGACAGGAGGCCAGAGCAGAGCAGGAATACACACCCATCTTTGCACAGTTCTGCCCCTGAATGCTTTGCCCTAGCCTCTGCAGTAAATTTAATTCCAATGGTGTAAGAATAACAAAGGGGGGAAGTATTTGCTTTTAAAGATTGACAAGTGATGTTATCCCTCTTAAGATCAATAGATTGTGACATTCTGTATTACAGTGTCGCCTAAGAGAAGCGTTATTTTACCTGGTTTAAGGCCAGTGGGTCAGCAATGTCCACCAAGAATACTTCTGCAAAAAGAGAATCATCTGTTGCTGAAAGAAAGAGAGTGAGTCTTTAGTCAGGTCTGTATATTTATTTCTTTGAAAAAGTCATAGTCAACTGGCTGTTGAAAAGAGGCCTGATAAAACACTCAGTGAAATCAGTTGGTGTATTGAGAAAGGAAAGACTGACTCTGGTTAATACTTGTCCGTGTAAATGACAGGTCGGGAAGCTTCAGTGGTGATCTTAAGAGACTTTTGAAATACAGAAGTGATAAGCCCCTGGATGATGTAACAGATAACAGGAAAGGTTTGCCTGCTTCTTTTATAAAATATTCATATTTATACTCAATCTTCATGACTGAATTATTTCATAGGCTTATATATGCTTTTTTTTAAGAGTCTGTCTATGCTAAATTAGCTACATACAGTCTTCTAGGGTAAAATTATCCTGGTTGAAGAGAAGCAATCACACTGATTCCAGATGCTTAGTTCATTTTGATTTATTGTAATTAGCTGATGAGATTTCAAATAATTACTTATTTAATGTCTATAATAATACAAGAATGATTAGTTAGCTTATGACTGTTGCACAGATATCCGCATTTAGAGTCGGGCAAAAAGAACTTCCTTCGCTCTCTAAGAAGTCCAGCTACACAATATCCTTCTATTTCTCTAAAGAGAATGAAATCCTTAAACATGTCTGAAAAACTACGATATGCTCTCTAAGTATTTTTTAGAGATAGAGGAACATATGCAGCGATGCGTATGTTATTTGGCAGGGACCAGTGAGGGCCAGCTGCTCCCTGGGGCGCAAGGAGCCAGGAACCAAACACGACACGGAGGTGGCGGGGTCCAGCCCCGCAGCACCCAGGCAGGGCAAGCCCAGGGATGGCAGCTGGGGTCCGGCGGGAGTCCGGATCATCAGACACGCTCGTAATGAGGAGGCAGGTCTGAGGTGATGCCGGGAAGTCAGTTTGCAGATCAGGGTCAGGTCCGGT